GTCTAAAAGCTATTAAAACAAATGGATGAAATGTTCCTTTAATCGCAATGAATATGGTAGTTTATTTTAACTCGGCCGCACATCCACCTTCCTGCAGTCATAAATACTCACAGCCCCGCTCAGTGTCTATACATTCACAGCTGAAAATAAGCGTCAATAAATGCTCTATTTACAATTAGAACACGTATGTCATCACTGTCACTCTCCTGGTCTTATTGTGTCTCGTCACTAGAAAGCCAGCCTGCTCTCTGATGTTGCTGACAGGCTGTTCTACTGTACCTTTATATCCTGTTTGTAAACTGACAATCGCATCACCCAAGGTCTGATTTACTTTCTTGGTTCTTGCCTTGAGCCTTTTATCTACAGTCTCACTCTCTTTACATCTCTCTATTGCTGAATGCAAGTGTCTCCTGCCTGCTGTTCTCACTGGCTAATTGACTTCCATACAACACAGTGTGCCTTTTATGGTGAGGGCGCCTAGTTTGCAGCCACATACTGTATATACGACATAGAGGAAAACCATAATGGCTGAATTATTGTAAATATGCAGCATTCAGAGAGCAGGAAATGCACATATCCATTTTCAGCAGCATTTGTAGTGGATACCTTTTTAAATGGCTCTGAGTTTAAATGGTTTACAGCAGCTAGCTAACATAGACTATAAATTCCAAAATGTTCTGAATTAAATCATATCTAGCTGTAATTTATAGGAATGTAAATGCAACAAAGTTATCTAAAAAGCAACGTTGCCTGTGGTGCTTTCTTCTTGGCATGCGACTCAAACAGCAGGGCGCCTGTTCCTTTTTCTAAGAAAAATGTCTTGCTTTTCACATGTGATGTATAAAAAAACAAACATTTTTGGATAAAACATGGAGGAGGGATTTTCAAAAGTGAGCAGGTTGGATTGTAATAACATGGAAAGTGACTCAGAAGTATCTGAAACATGCATCCCTCCGTCAACACCTACTTCACTCCACTTTTGGAGCAGTGCACGAAACCCTCATGAGGGGGAAAAAGGAGTGTTTTCTGTGGTGTTGAAGCCAGAAGCCCAAACAAGAACACAATAAGAGTGCAAAACCTCCACAGACAGCCCACAGATGTTGTACTGTTCTTTACACCCAACCAGAGCAAAGTGGATTGAACCAACAACCAGTCACATAAAAAAGAAATATACATTACACCATTGAAAAAAGAGGAGATAAAGATATAAGATAAAAAGATAAACAGAAGAGGTGGATTGGCATCCTCTTTTTTGATTAGAGTTTGCACCAATTCTTGGTGAAAAAGGTTGACTTTTAAACTGAGAAACTGGCTACAAACTGTAAGCACACAGTTTGACTGGTGATGATTTGATGTACTATTTTTGCCAATGAACTCAGTGGGCTGATGAGCATGATCAAACTGCAACAACAAGAAGGAGAGGAGCAGAAAAAGCTGAAATGTTCACTCAGATGTGTCATCAATCACACCCCAAGAATACATATCAAACTAGCAGAGAATAGTTAAGCAGAATCAGGTCACAGCTAAAACCCATTGAAATGCAATAGGCTTATTTTGAAACCAAAGCCAAAACACAGCTACAATTACAAGGTCAATTAAGTGAATGGAAAAGATGGATTTTTGACAGCGAAAGAGGAGATTATCCTAATTCTAGCTGTACTTTAAGACAAGGATAATCACTTTTCAAGGGCCCTCAAATGCAGCTCAGTGGTTCAACATTTTGTCTGATCTACTCCCACGACCCTGTCAGATGAACTCAAGGACCCATTCATCTATTACATTTAGTCCTTTGAACCATCTATCCATTTACCTATTTATATTTTTTCAAACTAATTGAGCTCCACATCCTTTCCATGCACCCCTGTCGACTGCAGAAGGAACCCTGGGGGGGCATGGAGCCCTGGTTGGGAATAACTGTTGTAGATGCAGTAGTCCCAACTGATAAGAACATGTACTGTTTCTAACCTATTAAACACATAAAACACGGATTTAAAACAGTATAGTTGGTATTACTGAAATCCCAAAGCTGGGTCATAGAAGAGCAAACAGGTAAATTTCTAGACATGCTATCCAGAGGCTCATCCACTTGGTCTATGCAACAAGGATAAAACAACTGAGCTGTATCTTTGACCCTGCAAAGTACAGTTAGCACAAGGGATCATCTCCAGTACTGTGATGCTTTCCCTGCTACAGTCAGCAGGATTAGATCCAGGTTTATGTTTACTGTAGAGGAGATTTTTGCTTGGCCAAGATGACGGCCAGAGATGGATCCTCAAATACTGTGAACAGATTCCAGCCCTCCTATACGGTGGGCTTCAGGCTACTGCTGCTGTTTTTTTTATGGCAGATTCCTTTGAGGCATGACTATCAGAGAGAGCCTGCAGAGAGGCACTGCTCAATGAGCAATTTATATGTTCTCAACAAAGCTTCTTCTTTAGACCCCGAAGGCAGGTCTTAATTGTTAGACGTGATATCTCCACTCCCCCTCTCCCTCTTCTCTTTCTTTGACTGTTTTCTTCTCCCTCCTCCCACCCACCCTCCCTCTAGCTATTAGGAATTGGATTTGGAGCAGAACGATCCATTTAGTCTCTCTCCTCCATCTCTATCCCTCTCTCCCTGCCTCTACACCTCCTCTGTAGGTTTCTGTCATCAAAGCCTGAGCTTAATCTGTCTATTTTTACCTGAAGGAATGAAAGAAAAAGATGAGGTAATGGTTTTCCTGTCCATCAGGTGGGCAGTGGTGCATGGACTCTCTGGTGTGTGTATCTTAGAGAACTAGCTCCACCATGTGGACTCGGAAGAGATGGGACATAAAAAGGCTATTGCAGGAGGGTACCTCCTGAAGAAATTTCTATCCATTCATTCATCTATATTGTTGGTTCTGTGGAGGGTCACTGGGGTGGGGTGTGCAGCTGGAGCTAATCCCAGCTGAAACTGAGCAAGAAGCAGGGTACACCATGGACAGGGCTATCACAGGGCTGACATAGAGAGACAGATGATCACTCACATTCACACCTCCAGACAATTTAGAATCACCAGTCAACCTAAACTGCAAGTCTTTGGACTGTAGGAGGAAGCTGGGAGGGAGGACATGCACACTTCACACAGAAAGGCCCTGGATGGCTGCCAAGTCCAAACCTGGAACCTCTTTGCTGAGGTGTTAACCACTGCACTACTGTCCCACCTCCTGAAGAAATGTGATCAAAGGAAAACAAAAAAGAAAAGAATGTGAGAACAGATAATCAATGGCACCCCCAGGGGATGTCTGGGGGTGGGGGGTGGGGGGGTCATGCCCTAAAATCTAAAATTACTCACCCTCCCACAGGTGATAAACCTCAGTCATTCTCATTTTTTGAAATGTAAGCCCTTAAAAATCGGACATTTAAGAAGTAAACATTTCAGTTGAATTGTGAAGAGACCATTCTCAGGGAAATGACTTACTTTTGTATATGAATTTGAGTTGAAACTATTGAAATGGAATGCCATGTTGGTTATCACTGAAATTATAAAAGTAATACAGAAACTGTATGGAATCTGATATATGTTGCTTTCTATCTGTCTTTCTATCAGAAATCTGGGTCAGATATTTTCACATCCATAATTCTTTATATTATTCTATAGATTATGCTTGGGCTTCCCACCACAGTCCAAAGACATGCTGCTTAGTTTGACTGGTGACTCCAAATTGCCCGTAGGAGTGAATGTGAGTGTGTGTGGTTGTCTATATGTCAGCCATGTGATAGACTGGCGACCTGTCCAGGGTCTAATGGGAATATCGAAATCTGAGATTCACATTACATCAATCAAGTAATTAAACAGTATGTAGTTTCTTGTACACTATAATTTAATCATTTTAACTGAAATTCCTCTGTGCTGTATAGCCTTTGTAGTGTGCCACACCAAATATTAAATTTCAGCACTAAGGGATTTATATGTTGGTTTGATTTAGATAGAGTAAGTAGTGTAAGTCAGGTTGAGGGAGTCACAGAAGTCAGACCCACTTGAGGCTAAAGTATAAAAGCTGAGCTCCACCTAGTGGGAAAAACAGTATGTGGCAGACAACACAACTGAAAGCATTTTGTTCATAAAATAAAATCATGAAACATTGGTTTCTGCATTTATGGTATTACATGAGAAATGAAACATTAGAGGTACATTGCAGTCATAAAGGTACAAATGTGTCAATACAACATAAACCACTGGAGATCAATATTTCAACCAGCAGAGAAATGCACAGAGGTTTAGGAAAGTGAACACACTATATGTGTTTTCAACTCTGTGTGAGGTGGTCAAAACTATTCTGAAAATCTACTTACATAAAGACTTAATGAAAATATTACTTATTACATTATTTGTGAAATTACCAGCTTAAAAAAAAAGCAGTTGGATAAAATTCTTACTCAAAAACAAATCAAAATACACTTTAAAAGGCAACAGCTGCCCTGAGGTGTCGCTTCTGGGCCATATTTATCAAGGCTCTCAGCCCTAAAAGTTCAATAATGGGGACACATCCTTGGTCCTGCTTTTAGGTCTAGGAGTAAAAGCTTTGTTGCAAGTGTATGACGCTTCACAAATCTCATCTCCTACTCTGAAGTAGGAATGGCTTTATTTCTACTTCACCTACCAGCCTGATTCCTATGAATGATTCCAAGACATCTGAAAAAAATATGGGTCTTTGCCTTTACCAGTCCCTGACAGTACTTTTTTCAAGGTTTCTTGAGATGTATTTCTATGGCAGTGAGACAGCTGCTTAAAGTTAGGAATGATTTCTCTGAATTATCATCATCTTGATGATGATAATGAACACTCATTATCATGGAATGGCAGCAGATTCTTTATACCTGAAATAACATACTGTAAAGTCAACAACAAGGTTAAAACCACCCCTTTTAACTTTAACTCAATTCTTAAATATCTATACTTCATGCATAAGAAAATATTTGCAGAGCATTAAAACATGATCATCATAATGTTGACTAAAAACAAAGGGAGGCAAAAAAAGCACCCATACACCTCTTAACAACTTCATTATTCTCCTGCTAATTCTCTTTCCTTACCTGCACATAAAGGCACAGAGGTGCCAGGTGTGGCGTTGGAGTTGGTGTTATGTCAGACAGAGAAGGTACAGTAAATACAGCACTTAGACATCTCCAGTCATCTTTGTGGTGGCTCTGGCCATTGCAGATTTTGGGTCGACGAACGCAGAATTTACATGTATTGCTATTAAAATGTTTTATAAAGTGATGAGGCTCTCTGGGAAAAGGAAAGAGACAGAAAATAGTGCTAAAAATGATTACTACCATCAGTGAAAGTCTCTTACTATTTTGTGGCAAAAAGGAAACTGCAGTAAAGCTTTCATTTTAAATTTATGGCATGTAGCATTTCAACATCAGTGTTATTAGTTTTTTGTTTAAAGGCATTAGTATAATTATGGATGTCAGCTTGATTGTTTTATTGTAAAGGGGGCTTTATGGGACAATAGAAAAAGAATGCACCGAAAAGCCCTGACAGTGTCTAGAGCAGTGGTTCCCAAAGTGGGAAATTTATAGACATTTATAGACATGACATAATGGTTTGTTGGATACAGCCCCACCTTTTTCTTTATTTGTTTTTATTTTTCATTTTATGCATTTTGTGTCATTTTAACAATGTGCTATCTTCATTTTTCCTTAAATGACTTTATTCTGGTTTTAATCCTTATTGTTTTTAATGCTGTTATTGGTTTTCTCTCCCTATTTAAAGCACTTTGAATTGCCTCTGTGTATGAAATGTGTTGCTGTAAGATGTGAATCTTATAGGCTTCAGTTACCTTGTAAGTTTTAGTTGCTTTTCATACCTTTATTTTTCTTGTAGTATCTTGCAGAGACTGGGGGCCTACAACCTGAGATGACCACCTGGCCTGTTTAGCATACTCACTAGGTCCTGCTTTGTCCTGTAATAGCCTACACAGATAAGGGGTCTGCATCGTAGACAATTGTTCAGTATTCAGATTGCTAGCTACTGCCTGAAAATTACAACACTCACACACATTTGGTTTCTAACACAGGTACAGTAAACTGACGTGGAGCAGAGGTTGGTCTGCTCACGTCTATGGCCAATAGAATTAAGATACGTGTAAGTCAAACCCGTGTACGGGGCGGTCTCCACCCAAGAAGATAAATGTAACCAGAAACCATAACTTGGTTTAACAGATTTCCTGCAGGAGCTTTGTCTCTCTGATCCCAGCGCTGCTTTGTCTTACCTGTGCCCAGACTTTGATTAAATTTTCTGTTGATTTTATACGGTCCTGTTTTGTCTTCAATTGTTGCACTTCCAACAAAAGAACTGGGTTTTTCTAACACTGCCTTGCCATGCCTTGCCTTTAACAGTGCCTGTATGCACTGTATGCTTTAGAAACCTGGAATTTAATTTAAAAAACTGGATTTGAAACTGATGCTATTCCATATTTAAAGCTACAATACATAGCAGTGAATATTTGAATATTCACCAATTATTACCACCAAAAATCCAGAGCCCAAAAACTGCCATTTGGGACAGGCCCTGTAAATCTGTGGGAGCAGGGGGGAATCTGTTTAACTTACTGCCACACACAGGAATGCTCCTGTTCTCCAGTTTGATGACTGCGGAGCACATGGTCGTGGTGACTGCGATGGCATCAAAGTAGGAAGAATGTGGTGTGACGATGAGGATGGGAGCGTCAGAAAGTGCTGCATGTTTTCCTTTCACCTGGATCCAATGGAAACCTCCGCAAAACCACATGGCTGGCATGATTACTTGTAAACACTGGTGGATAAGTCTGATAAAGGACATACAGAAAGTTGATGCAAAAGATTTTTTGTCCAGTCATGTCAAACTAACCAAACCTGTTCCTGTCTAGCAATGTTCACCTCCAACTTCGGTCTTACACCCCCTTCACAAATGTTTATTCTAGTACTCATCTTCTGTGCATGACTTCACTGCTTAATATCCCCATTGTCCCCAACGCACGTGAATCTAGTAGCTTTAACCTGATGCTTCTCACTTGAAATAAGGTCATATAACCTCTACACACGCTGTAAGCTTATGAAATTATACTATACTCTGTGGACACTAAGAAACAATCAGCAGATATACGGTACTAATCTTATAGTTGACAGGCGGATTGCTTGTTTAGCCTGCTTCTTATAATGATGTATACAGGTTGCTGCAATTTTCACATGTCTAGGTAATCCCATGTGTCAGTAGCGCATACACACTTCAACACACACACCTCCTCCACCATGACTGTGGCTCAATTACAAACTCAGAATGTCCAAGGGAGGCTGTGAAGGCGAAGGGCCATGCCAGCAGCATGAAGAAGAACACCTGCAGCAGCCGAACAGGAGACACTGTAACAGACATCAGTCCTGTCTGGAGAGAGAGTGAGAGAGAGAGAGTGGAAGTGTTAAAACCTGCAGTTCCTCGAATGGCCACTTGAGACAGGCTCTTAAAAGGAGACAATCCCCATAGACTCCCATGTTAAAATGGCCAACTTTACAACAGAAATAAACCAGTTTTATAGCCTAATATAAAAAAAAGGTTGTGGTCTCTATAGCTAATTCCCCCTACCATGACAACTGTAAAGGGGGTGAATTTTATAAGCTTAAGCATAAACTTTATTGCCAAGTATTATCAAAAATGGGAAAAAAAAGGAAATTGACTCATCCTAGTGGCCCCCAGTGTGCACAACAATATAGATTTAAACTTGCCCGTTTAAATTATATTGAGATTTAAAGTTACACATAATTAAGGGCATGGCCACTTTAACTAACAGGCTATGTTGTGCTGTTTGTCTACATAGAATGACATTTTGTTTCCCTGTGTCTAAGTCATTCATATGTGTGGAAACCTGAACCTGCTGTGTTGACTGCAGTCTTTGGCTTTTGCATAACAACAGTGAGATTTTATTGTATCAATAGTGAGCTAAGTAAGAAAGGTAACTCTGCCAGCACTCGATAAGATCAACTGTAAGTCATGTAACTGAAATATGATTACTGAAACCAGGGTGCCACAATAGAGATGACAAGTCAGCTGACTGAATTACCATGCATGCTTTTTCTCCTACTGTGTAATGAATGAGATCTGATGTGTATGTGTGAGAGAGAGAGAGAGAGAGAGAGAGAGTACTGACAGGGTCAGAGTCATGGCCTCCGGTGTAAACTCAAACTATGACATTTTAAGCTCCTTCCTTCCTTCCTTCCCCCCTTGTCCCACCCCAACTCGATCACTTCATCACTTTCATCGCACTCCCTCAGTCCCCTCTAATCAACCTCCCAGCCTGCCTTACAGGGATCTCCAATCCCAAAGGAATGCCTCTTAACTATCCATCCATGTGTCTATTTGCTCAGATGTCCCTCCATTTATCATGCTGCTCTCCCTTCAACTATGTTCATTCTACTTTGCATTGATGTGCTTTTTGTCACCCTTCTGGGGAATCCTATCTATCACCCCCCATCCCCCGTCCTATCCCATCTTTCCTGTCTGTTCCTCTCTAGAGGACCCAGGTGCACACTGCAGGGCTGTATTAATAAATAAACAGTAATGGGGTGATTTATGATGTTTTAATATCTCTCCCAGCCACACCCCATGTCCATTGCACAGTTCACTCATCCTCAGAAATCAACGAACCCATCAAGGGGGATCCACTGACATTTTCTCAGGAGGAGGTATGAGCATGAGTTGGGGTGGATAGAGGGAGGAAGCAATTTTTGGTGTTTTATGAGAGTCCCAGCACATCATGGCTGATGATGTGAAATCATCTCATCTCAGTTTCTATACCGCTTAGTAACGGGATCGCGGGATGATGTGAAATTTGCTGTAAAAATACACCTCTGCACTGTTGGGCTCACTTGGACCATACATCTTTATTCTATTATAAAAGTAACTTAAAAGTCGCTTTACCTGAAGGAAGTAAGTTATTAATGTACTTCCAAAGTAGTGCACAATTTCTGTGGCTCTAACTGGAGTTTCACCACTTGTCTCAGTGCTAAGTAATTGCTAGTAAGAAGAAATGCTTTGCTCTTAAAGCAAACTACAGGGTAATAGATAAACCTGAGGGGCACAGAGCAAAAGGGAGTGCACTTCCTCCTCTTGTCTGACTGTATGGCTGAAAATATGAACTATGATTTTTACTGGAGAGGTTTCTAGGTTAATCAAAATTGCTATGGGAATTTTGCTATAAAAAGAGGAATCTCACCCAACTAACTGATATGATTCCTTAATTTGTTTAGTCAGACTCTATTAACAGTGTACATCCAGAACAGTCATGCATGAACTAAGCCTGAAAACCCACTGATCCATTGGTTGTTTGATGAGGAGGCATTTGGGCCTGATTGCTGTTCTCTACCACAGAGATGGTATAAATTTAAGCTGTAGCCAAAGCTGCCTGAACCAGCAGCAGAACCAGTTGGCAGTCTTACCTACCACATCCACATTCATACTTGGGCCTAGAGCTCACATTTAACGTCTTCTTGTGAATTACATTATTTGAGTACAAGTCACAGCGGCCTTCCCACCTAGAAGAAACTGGCTATACAATAAATACTGACTTAACTATAGCTCACACTTGCTAAGCCATCCTGGAATCTGATCTATTTTAATGAATGCTGAGTTCACATGAAACTTGGTAAGCTTGTTTACCCCTGTGCTAAAACCCAAGTGTAAACGCTGTGTGCATGTGTGTGTGGATGTACACATTCAATTCAATTCAATGAGTGAAAAGAAACTGATGGAAACAAAAAAGTGTAGACTGATAGACAAGGAGATGTGGTATTGAGGGAGGAAGTCAGTTGTGTGATACCCTGATTAGCATGTGTCATATGACAGGTGAGCAATACAGTAAAGTAATGCATCAGTGTCCATTGTTTGGAGTGCATTATGCAGAAGCAGTCTGCACTGTCATCAGGTGTGCAGTCCAAAATCAATTACAAATGCATCACATCAACTCTGGCACCACAGATCCAGGAAAATGTGGGGTAATGGCTGATCCCAAAATGACACCACAAGTGTCTGGCAACGGAGAAAATAGGGCAGCACTGCAGTTACATTATACTAAAAATGTAAAAGCTAGGCCTACAAAAGTGTAACTAAAAGTTAATTGTTATACTATATGGATGCTGCTGTTCCCTCTATGGATACACACAACTAGTCTGAGGGCCAAAGAGTTATTAGTTCATAGCTAAAATATATATATACTGTATATATTTGACAGCAGAGTCTAAGATGTAATATGAATGATGTAAGATGTATTAAAAGACTTTAAAGCATAAATGAAAGTTTTGATAAACACTTTGTGTTTCTCTTTAAACTGTCATCCTATGATGACAGAAAGTGAGTCTTACTAAACACATCCAGAGGAACTACACTTACTAGATGGTCATAGGATTCTAAGTTTTACGTTTGAAGACGTGCTTTCCATTGTTTATGAATAGAATGGAAACTGACCACAGGACTTCATGCAAAATCTGTCAGGCCAAACAAGATGGGCAGAGTTAAGGTGTGGTGAATGAATGGGTTTCTGCCCACTCTGGAGCGACTGTTTGACTTGACTGCTGACAAACTGGCACCCAAAAAGTAAATAAATAAAGAAAGGTTGTGTCCAAAACGTCCCGTAACGTTAACCAAGTTCGTTGTTTTACACCGTACAGTCTCTTCTTCAGCTCTGCCTCCTCCGGCTAGGAGAGACTGAAGCTGGGCGAGAAGTGCGTCCTTACGTCGAACCGGATCAAAAAACCTCCGGTCACAACGCCAAAGTAATGCAGCTTGCCACTTTTTGTATATTTTATTTAAAATTTGTAAGAGTGCCTTAACGTTGGATTAAAAGAAAAAACAAGCCTTTTGAAAAGGTTTCCCGCACATTGCCCTCAATGTTGTGCTTTGTATTGTTGTACCTGGTACTTTTTACCATACGGACTCTGAGAGACGAGACAGTCCAAGTAACTTCAAAACAGTGCTGATTTATTCAAAGGATCACAGGTAAAATTAACATTACACGCTCAGGTATCTTCCACCTCCAAACTGCACGCAGGCAGATGTAAGATGAAAGACCCTGAACCCACCAGGCCTATACATTATATCCCCTCGGTTGGGCTAGCCCCATACTACACAGAAACGTCAACCGAGACGTCTAAACATAAGAACATATTATGGCTAAGGCTACAGTTATACACGTCATAATAATAATATTAAACACCCTGTCTGCTGACAGTCATCAACTCTTCTCTCTAGTTATCCTTGACCAGATGTACCCTGTAGAAACTCATAAGCATGACTAAGCATTTAACAGTCTAACTAGACATGCTATCTCCACTAAACATTTCTAATACATAAAGTATCTATCTAATTTCTATCTGAATAAAAATACCTAACAGTAATTATTGCCACTTTACCCTGTTTCCCTTCTATTTCTCACGGTAACATGTATGTTAAGCTATAGATTTTCGTTCGGTACACCCAAAAACATGGGACCATAGGGTGCACCATGTAACAGCTTTTGCTTTGAAGGCAAATGAACAAAATTTTGAAACCTGGTGGTACACGCACGCCCTCCAACAGACGCATGTCACAGTTTTTGTTTGTTTTTTGCGTGCCTAATAAAAACACGTTTAACTACAATGTTAATGCATGTGCAACAGGGAGGCGACTGACCGAAATAGCAGCGTAACAATGCTTTTATTGTGAAACTTCTGCAATTACATTACCTCCTGCTTTTATAATAACGCCCACTTTTTGTAGAAATGTGGGCTTTCAGACATCAGAGCCTGAGCCACTTATCTAAAAAAATAATAAAATTTAAAAAACAGACACATTTAACCAGAAGATAAGAATTCTGTGGACTGTGTTGATGTTTGAGGTGACTGGCTATCTGTGAGATTTACAGTTTTTTGCTGTTGCTAACAAGCATTAACCAATACTTAAAATACTTCTAAACTCTTAACACAGCAACACAGTTACATCACACACCTGGCCAAATGGTTCATTTGCGGACAAAAACCACATTTTGTTAAATAAATACAAACTTTACATTTCACAATGCAAAATACCATTTTCTACATATACTAACTTTATCAAAACACAGCAAACCTGACTCATAATTGAGTCGTTTGATCAAAACATTAGCACTAGTTTTCTATCCAACAGGAACATATAGTCAGTCATAATGCACAGACTGTCAAAATGTGAAAAAGTAATCACATTACAAAAATGACATTACTTCTCACTGAACTGTATACAATATTTTTAGATGTTGTGGGAGCAGTGGCTGCAGCATGCCGAAGTTTCATGTACTCCTCGTACCAGAGTTTGTGGCGTTGCTGTATATGGTGGTACAGATTTGTTGTGCTTCCACATTTGGACGCAACGTCTTTGCGACACAGTCTACAAATTATGTTTTTTTGCTTGACATTATCTCTTCTGAAACCAAACCACTTCCAAACTAATGAACCAGTGCTTTTCTTTTTACATAACAAAACTTCGTCACTCGTGTCGAGCGGAGCCTGAGCTGCTTCTATGCTGCTGAGTTGAAAATAGCCGCTGACTTCCACTGGCCGCATGCGCAGTGGAAGAGTGTGGGCGGGATGCAGGTGTGTGTGAGTGAGAGAGAGAGAGAAAGAGAGCCTGATGAGGATAGACTCTCGTCTCGTCCTTTAACTTTATACCGCGGTATAAATGGTATTGCGTAATTCTACACCGCGTTTAAAATTATATCGATATAAGTTAATATATCGATATACCGCCCAGCCCTACTTCAACATCACATTGTCAAGTTGGTATTGTGTCTTCATACATGGTCACCTACCTCCGCTGTGAATCGGTGCTACACAAATACAACTGAATTGAATTGAATGGAATTGAACTGAGGGTTTGCTGACTAACACTTCCATCCATAACGCCATGCAGCTAGCACGACTAAAAACAAACAAATATTACTACAAAGATATGTAAGAAACACTAATTAAAATGTCTTCACTCAATTATAAGAAGAATATAGATAGTAACAGCGACAAATAAGCGTGGTGTTTTCACATTTCTTACAGGGATGCCACATGGGAGCACGAGGCCGCAGGAAGGCGCAGGTTGCACTGTACCTGCAGAGGTCTGAGGTGAAGACGTAGATGTGTTCATTCTTGTTCAGCAAGGGATGGAAAGCACTTCCATCTGTTCCACTGATGCTGTTGCTTTGGTTAGACGTCCAGAAGGTCAGCTGGCTGCAAAACAACACGTTGTCACAAACACGAGCATTAACTGTCTTTTTCAAATTAAGAGA